ACTGTTGAACAGCATTAATAGCTTTAAAACGAAAAACCAAGCACCCGTAATTGAAACCGACTTACATGTGATGCGAAATCTGATAAATGAATCGCAATTAATAGACTATTTCGCTCTTCGTTTTCTGGACTCACTAATACACGCACGCAAATGCCCGAAAACGGTGAATGCACGAGGTGTGAGAACAACAATAACGGCGAGCAAAGAGAGTAAACTTGAAGCCGGCAGTAAGAACAACAGCAGAGGCGACAACAACAACAACTAGGACCGCGGGCAAGAAAGCGCAAAGAAACCACAACAAACGACACAGCCGCCGCCACCGCAGCTGGCAAAGAATGAGAGCTTCGAGCAAAGTGAGTCATCGCTGAAGGTACAGGGGGAATCGAGTTGGAGCCGATCTTTAGCCGAACTTGAGCCGACGGCGCCAACATTGCATAAGCTGGATTCGGACTGTCGTTCCCACCGCTCTCTGCTCTCTGCTCTCTGAACTACGCTCTCGATCCCTCTCTCACTCTCGAGCGCATTTAAAAAGTAACGGCGGTGGAACTGGCAGCTGTACGCGCTCAATTAAAAAGTCATTAACTGCTACACACACATGCTAGAGAGAGAGAAAAGGACTGTGATTGACAACAACACGCAAGATCTCACCCTCCTCCTCCTCCTCCTCCTCCCTTCACCTGGTCCTCTCCTTTCCGCCTCTCACCATATGCTTTCTTTGCACGCACCTTGCAACAAGACAAAAGCAACAACTGCAACTGCAAGGGTGCAACTGTCACTGTCCTCGGACCGTTTGCTTGCGCCTTTTACCTGTATGCGTCTGTCCTGTCCCTTCTGTCCTTCCTGTTGCGTGTCCTTAAATGCGCCATAAACACCCCCTAATCCCCGCATCACCCTGACCAACAACCTTGATCACCAATTCCGACCAAACGGGGCCTCAAAGCTGCATCTCTAATCATTATCCCTGATTAATGGTGTTTTTAAATTAAAGCTAAAGATTAAGCCATTTTCTAATCCTCGCAGTTGTAGCTTAATTTTTTTATATATATATTATATTTATATTTTGCTTCCCACTGTTTCTACATTTATTAGGTATTTGTATAAACAAATCTGATTTTAAAAATGGTAATGTAAAATAAATTTAAACGATTGTTTTTCTTTGTAAGTCTTGTAATTAGTGCAAATAATTAATTGCTTAAAATCTTCAGGCCCATAAATGTGCCATAAACATATGTATCTAATCCCACTGTAGACAGTTGGCCGGCTGCAACAGTTGCATCAGCTGTTGCGCCAAAGCTCTCCCATTCCCTCAACTGTACAAAAATGCATATGTATGTACATGTATAAAAGAATATTTTTATATGTATATATATTCTGCTTGTGGTTTTGTTGTTGCTGCGACATATGCAGAAAGTTTTCGGGTCACAGTGGAACTCGAATTTATGATATACCACTGACCACTTTTTATAGTTTTAAAATAATATATATAATATTATCCAATTTAAAAGGTATTACAAATGGAAAACAACAAAAGTATATATAACTTATACTATTATAAATATTTGTATTATATTTTTGTATATCCTTTTACTCACGCATCACAGCGACAAGTTCCACTGTATCTCTTGGACGCGACCCCTTTTCCTTCCCGTTCGCCGCCTTCGCTGTCGCTGCCAACGTCGCCTGGCCGCGTCTCTTCGTTTTCTTTATTGTTTTATTGTCAGTTTAGGGATTTGACAATTTGCTTGCTGATTTTTTATGACAATCATGTATGTAAATTTCGGGCTATGCCATCCCACTCGCACTCTCTCTTCCAGCCTCTTCGTACGCTCTCTCCGTTCGCCACTACTCCGCCGCTCTCACAACTCTTCCTCAAGGCCTCATGCACACGCTCGCTGTGGAGCCTTGTCGCATCTGTATGTGTGTGTTGTCTGTTAAATCGCCTGCAGTTAGAGAAAATTTAGTAAATATTAATATTGATAATTAATTATTAATTATAAAATGATTTATTCTTAGAAATGCAATAAATATGAAAGATAGGAAACCCAATATATGTAGACAAATTTTATTCAGTCAAACAAATTTAAAACATTTTAAGGAAATAAAATAACAAAATTTGGTTCTTTTTGAATAATTTAACTAAATAATGTTTTTTCTATCATTTTATTATATATTAGAACAATTTTACTATTTTTTAATAAAAAGTTTAATAGAAATTTGCTTCTTTCTGAGTGTATTATCGTAGAGAGAGATGAGTGTATGCGAGCTACATTAGCCCTCCTCGCACTTTTTGGCTCAAGAGATTTTTAAATACTTTTGGGCCATATTCTCAGTTGGGCTCGAATCCCAAAAAAAATAAATAAATAAATAAAACAACAACAATATCAAAAGCCCATAAGCAAACCCTTCCCGCTGCTATTTTTAGTTGGCTCTTTTCTGTGCTGTCGCAATAAAAGTGGGCTTTATTATTAATTTTTAAAGCGCTGACAACTTTTACGAGACCTGAGGAGATGCCGGTAATCGCCGGACACGCCTAACCGAAACTAGGGTAGTAGTGCGAATCGCTTTAGTGACTCAGATCAGATTGACGAAAGCCTGACTAATTAATTAATGAGCCAAGACCTAAACTAAGCTTAACAAAAGCTTAAACTGCAACACAGCTGCAATTTGCGATATCTAAGATATGGCGGGACCCTCAATTGGTTATTAGTCATCTAACGCGCCTTACGGCTTCTTTATTAATAGATTTAATTAAAACTTTTTATTAGCCTTTAAAATAGTGTTGTTTAAGATTTGTTACTAAGTTTTTCTTTTTTTAAAAGCCGTATAAGCATTCCCAGCTGATAAAAATATATTTTCTTAAGAGGTAAAATCAAAGAATAAAAGCTTAAAATATTAATATTTTTATATGACAATTTTTTAGATAAGTCAAAGCTTAAAAATCTCATAACTAATCCAAAAATGCGTCAATTTAGATTTCCTATGTTAGTTTTTATTAGGGTAATAAATCTGCATACTCCATTAATTTTTTTTTTATTTAATTTTTTTGTATTTTTTGAAAATTTTAACTTTATAACCCCTTATAAAATTATGAAAAAAATAAAAAAATTTGTTTTTCTTCAAAACATGTCCAGATCGATTCGGTTGTTGATGCTGATCAAGAATATATATGATTTACAAGGTCGGAAATGACTCCTTTATAGTGTTACATGCTTTAGACTGAATAACAATACCAATAAATATATAAGTCAATTTTTATTTCTTTTTTTGTTCTCTATAGTTCTAACTTGAACTAATAATTTTTAAGGTATTGTCATACAATTATTAATATATATATAATATATTTATCTGATCTGTGCAGTTTTAAATTAGATTAAAATATAGGAAATAGAGAAAGTTTCATCCAAATATTTCAAAACTTTTTGTTTAGAAAGATAGACCGATGTCTATGGCTAGATCGACTTTAGTTTAAAATAAGTAAAACTTCTACTTTTGTTTTTATTTAACAATTAAATATAAATATTTTAACGTTTTAAAGCCAAATACTCGTTTTTAAAATAGTCAAATCCTTGAAGATTAATGTAATTCAAAATCTTTAAATTACTAAATAAAAACCCGGAAATTTTGGAAACCATCATATGGAAAATAAAATTATTTCAATATTCAAATTATAAAATATTTAAAGCTGGCTTCTGTTTGCGTGTGTGTGTGCGTTTTACACGCATAAATAAATAATAAAAACACAAAATCAAAGGCAGGCGCAAACACAGTGCAAAGGCAGCGCCAAAGCAAAATCAAATGCAGTGGCGAGCGACAGAGATGGCGACAGCAGCGGCGGTGGCAGCGACGGCAGCGGCGACGGCGGTCGCACATAGAACACACAGTACATAGCACACACACGCACGCATGTGCGTCGACCAGAGCAGAGGCAGCGGCAGCGCAGCTCGTAGCTCTGCCGCCAGCTCTGCCGGAGCAGCTGCCGGCTGAATGTGCCTCATGCACGTTGTTCGTCGGTCATTTGTATTTGAAACGCCGTAGCAGAAAGTAGCAGAAAGAAGAAAGAAGGACAAGAACGAGGAGCGGCTATTTTGGCTTTTAGCGCCCTTTTTTATTTCATTTTCCCACTCACAAAAACGGCAAAGCAAACATTTGGCAAAAACTTTTCGGCAAACAAATCGTTTAACAAAAACCACAAAAATTAAAAAACTAACTAACTATTTCGGACCAAGCGAAGCAAAGTAAAGTTTAAAAGTTCTTAACAATCATTTGTGTCATATTTGTGTTCGTAAACAATTTTTTTCTGTTCGATCCCCGGATGAAAAAGATCTAAAAAAAAAGCGTTGAAAGAGAGGCGGAATCACAGTGATCTTGGCAAAGCGCGACCGAGAAAGAGAGAGGCAGAGAGAGTCGCCATCGCCAGTTCTCGCTTCCCTCGCATATTCGCAAACAAAATTCAAAATTCAAAATTGCAGAGCCGCATTTTGATTTTGGTTTCCTTCAGTTTGTCTTATTTTTTGTTGAAAGAGAAAAAGAGTAAGAAAGGAGGAGGAGTGGAGAGAGAGTGAGCGCAGCAGTCGGTAAAAGGAGGCGCGAAAAGATCGACGGCAGGCAGTCCAACGGAGGAGTGCCGAAAGCGAAGGCGCAGATAAGTAAGCAAATTCGAGAACGAGAACTCACCGAGGATCTGAGTATTTTTTTCAAGTGTAAATGTGTTCAAGTGAGAGCATTGACAATTTATTAAATAAAGGTTAAACTATACGTTGTAAAAGAAACCTATCTGGAACCGAAAAAAAAAAACAAAAAGTGCTAAATGCAAATAAAAGAAAGTGAAGAGGACATAAAGAACCGTTAGAACGTCTTTGACTCTCAGATTGTGTGTTTGTGTACGTGTGCGTGTGCTTCATTTGTCTTAAAAAAATCTACCCACAAATTTCCTCAACTAATAAAGAAAATATAAATTAATTCGATTATTTGCAGTACAAATACAAATGCCAACTAAAAAATATAAAACGAGTAACTAAAAACAAAATATTATTAATTAAAAAAACAACGATCGGCGCTCCACAAGAGAGCCAACGAACTCGGAGAGACAGAGAGATTGGAGGAGGAGGATGAGCCGCTAATTTCGCAGAGAGAGCACGACATGAGCAGCGGCACCGGCAGCGGAAGTAGCGGTAGCAGCAACCACGCGAGAGCGGTCCATGGCGAGCATCAAGACTGAGATGCCGCCACTGCACGCGGCAGAGGCGCTCGCCGCCAGCAGTGCCACCGACAGCGGCGGGGGAACGGGAGCGGGTGGAGGCGGGGGAGCTGGAGTCCCAGCGGCTGGTGGCGGAGGCAGTGCACCCGCCACGCCAAATGCCACGATCAGTGCCGCAGCCGATTCTAGTGATAACCAGCCAGGCACACCGCAGCCCCCGCAACAGCAGCAGCAACAGTCTCAGCAACAGCAGCAATCACAAGGACAACAGCAATCCCAGGGCATGGATTCCCAACAGCAGCAGCAGCAGCAGGTTACGGGCATAACCCATCAGCCCTACGCCACCCACAACATGTATTCCGCCTCCAGCGGACAGCAGCAGGCCCAGCAGCAGCAACTGTACGGCGGACTCTACGGAGCCGACATGCAGCAGCAGCAGCAGCAACAGCAACAGCAGCAAGGCTACGCCAGCAGCTACATCAACAGTTACGAGCAATTCTATCAGCAGCAGCAGCAACAGGGCACGGACTATGCCTTTGGCTTGGACTACGGCAAAAGCGCCGGATTGCGCTACCATCCGTACCTGCAAACACCCACATCGGGTCTCGGCGGCATGCCGGCGGCCAGTGTTGCCGCCCAGGAGGAGTCGGTGAGCGCACCGAGTGCCGTTAGCACCACCACGGCGGCCATGAGCCCACGTGTGGTTAGCAGCAGCAGTCCCACGTCCACCTCATCGCACCTGCAGCTGGGCAGCGCCAGCGGTCAGACCCCAGGCTCACCGGGTGGCGCTGGCAACGGCGGTGCCGGATGCAAGCTGCAGTGCAAGAAATGTGGCATCCTCACCACCAACGAGTCGGAGCTACAGGAACATATTGCCAATGTGCATGGTGAGTCGCCATATGGAAGCAGTGGCTATGCCAGCTCACCGTACATCAAGGAGGAGATGCCAACGCCACAGCCACCGGGCGGTGTGGGCGCTGCATCGGCCAATCCCGGCGAACTGCTTGACTTGGATTCGCAGAAGATGGTCTACCACCAGCAGCTGCTCCAGCAGCAGCAGCAACAACAGCAGCAGCAACACGAGGCTGTCGCTGGTCTGCCGATCGGTGCTCTGCCCGATCCGCTTCACTCGATGCAGTCCATGCAGCAGCGGGCGCTTCATAGTTGGGAGCAGCAGCCGCAGCAGACGGTGGCCTCAGTCGAGGGTCTGCCGCCCTACATGCAGCAGGGCCTGGGCGTGGGTCTAGGCGTCGGTCTTGGCGTTGGTGGCGTGGACAAGTCCCCCTACTACTCACCCAAGCAGTCGCCGTACCATCAGTCCGCCGGCGTCGGCGCCACGCTCATCAAGCAGGAATACGGCGGCCACGGACTGATCAAGTCCGAGTATCCAGACTCGCAGCATTATGTGGACAAGTCCTTTGATCCCACGGCAGGCGGTGCCGGTGGTACTGGTGCGGATCTGTGCGCCAGCGTGGCCACCAGTCCGGCGGAATTCCCCAGTACCACCACCGGTGGACCGGGGCAAGATGGTGTCGCCGGTGGAGCAGCGCCAGGCGGCGGATATCGCGGCTTCGAACCACCCAGCTCCAGTTCCGTGCTGCCGGCCAACAGCTTGACGGCCAAGGCGGCCACCTGGAAGTCGAATGAGGCGCGCCGCCCCAAGACGTACAACTGCACGGCCTGCAACAAGTGGTTCACCAGCTCTGGCCACCTCAAGCGGCACTACAACACGACGCTGCATAAGAATGCGGTTAAGTCAAGCGGTCAGCCGGATCCGGCTACTCTGCCCATTTCGGCGCACCATCATCCATCGCGGGATCCGGTGACGAAGCCCAGTCGAAGGGGAACGGCAGCAGCAGCTGCTGCAGCCGCCGCTGCCGCTGCAGCCGCTGTCAATCAGGGGCAGCAGGCACCGGCGCCACCGCCGCCAGTTAATGTACCGCCACCAGAGCCACCCAGAAGTCCGCCCGACTATGGAGGGGGAGGAGCGTTGGGCGTGGGGGCGTTGGGCGGCGCTGCCATGTCCCAGTACTCGGCCTCGCCTTCGCCCACCACGCAGCAGCAGCAGCAGCATCACCTCCATCATCAGCACCACCACCAGCAGCAGCAGCAGCAGCAACAGCAGCAGCAGCACGCCAATGGATATGCCAATGGCACCGCCAATGGCTATGGCTACATGCAGCAACAAGTGCAATCCACGACAAACGCTTCACCACAGCACGCTTCCAACAACCAGCAGCAGCAGCAGCAGCAGCAACTACATCAGCAGCAGCAACAGCAGCAGCATCATAACTCCGTTTTGAACGGTCACCCAAACGGGCTAGCAGGTCCCTCCGCCCCACACAACAACAACAACAACAACACCACCCAAATGCCGTCCTCCAAAATGAGGGGCCTGCTGAACGAAACAACAATCACACCGCCAATCAAAACAACAACAACCCGAGCACCACAAACAACAACAACAGCACTAGCAGCAACAGCAGCAACGGCGGCGGAGGCAACCACAGTTGCTATAAAGAGCGAACAAATGGAGGACAGCAACCACACCCACACCCACACCCATCCCAATCCCAATCACAGTCACAGTCAGGACAGCAGCAGCAGCTCAATGGCCACGGAGGAGGCGGAGGAGCTGCAGGAGGATCAGGAGGAGGATCCGGATCGGGCGGGAGATCACCTGCAGCGGCAGCAGCAGCAGGAGCAGCAATACCTGCTGGCGGCGCGCCACTATCACAGCAGCACGCCCAACACGCTCAGCTGCAGCAGCAACAGCAGCACCCACAGCCACATCAATCCCAGCACGCCCAGCAGCAGCAGCAGCAACTCGCCCCTTACTATTTACCAGCAGGAGCCGCCGGCAACGGATTTCTCGCGCACCACAACGCCGCCGCAGCCGCTGCCGCCTATGGTAATGCTGCCGCCTATGGCAATGGACTACAACATGCTGGCTTTGGATATGCCCACGCACATGCACACGCTCATGCCCAGCAGTATGCTGCAGTGCAGCAGCACCAGCACCACGCCGCTAGCTACTACCACCACCACCAGTATGCAGGACACTATGCCGCTGCCGCAGCAGCAGCTGGTGCACCATTACCACCAGGCGGTGCTCCACCCGCACCAGCATCAGTTGCAGGCGGATCAGCATCAGCGGTCGGAGGAGGAACCACATCAGCAGCGGGAGCTTCACCAACTGGATCAGCAGCAGCAGCAGCAGCCGCCGCAGCAGCAGCCGCAGCAGCAGCAGCAGGAGCTAATCCTGGCGGACAATTTGCCGCACAGCAGCAGTTCGCCGCACACCAGCAGCTCCCCGCCGCCCACCATGGGCATGCCCATGCCGCTCACCACCACCACAGCGCCGCAGCTGCTGCCGCTGCAGCTGCAGCCGCCGCCGCCGCCGCACATCACCAGCACCATGCCCATGCCGCCCACCATGCACATGCCCATCATGCCGCCGCCGCCGCCATGCTACCAGCAGCTGCAGCCGCTGGACCCCACAATGAGCTATCACACTATTATTGGTAGTGGGTCCGAGGCGCACACCGGTGCTAGTGGCTATGCGTCCAATCAGATCACCACCAGCGATGGCCAGATCCTGCAGCTGATGCCAGCCTCTCTATTTGCACCATATGCCCCGCTCTCGCCGTACTCGGTGGCCGCCCAGCGGTCGCCGCAGGAGGGTGACCTGCCGCCAGTGCATACGCTAACCACGGCGTTGCATGCCCATCAGCAGGGTGGGCAGCAGGAGGCACAGACACCGGCAACGTTGACGGTGCTATCCACACCCTACTCGCCCACGGTGAGCAGCTCGCGGGCCACTCCGGCTCTGGAAATGGATATGGCCACGCTTATCCAGCAGCAGCAGCATCAGCAGGAGTACGAGATGGAGCAGTATCAGTTGCAGCATCATCAGTTGGAACAGCTCCAACAGCAGCAGCAACAGCAACATCATCTCGAGCAGCTTCAGCAGCAACAGCAACAGCAGCAACAACAGCAGCAACAGCAACATCAGCAGCAACAGCAGCAGCAACATCAGAACCTCTCGGAGCCAACTCAATCCCTGGGGCAACCGCCAGCAAAGAAGCGACGCGGTGCCACACCCTCAACCACGACGAAGCGACGAAGGAATAGCAGCGTTGGCTCCACATCACCGCACTCGACCACTCTGCCATCGGGACGAATCAAGTGTCTGGAGTGCGACAAGGAGTTCACCAAGAACTGCTACCTCACGCAGCACAACAAGAGCTTCCACTCCGGTGAGTACCCGTTCCGCTGCCAGAAGTGTGGTAAGCGTTTCCAGAGCGAGGATGTCTATACCACGCATCTGGGTCGTCATCGCACCCAGGATAAGCCGCACAAGTGTGAGCAGTGTCCCAAGCAGTTCCATCACAAGACCGATCTACGGCGTCATGTCGAGGCAATTCACACGGGGATTAAGCAGCATATGTGCGATATTTGTGAGAAGGGTTTCTGCCGCAAGGATCACCTGCGGAAGCATCTCGAGACCCACAACCGTCCCAGGGTGGTGGGCAAGAAGTCAGCCGCTGCTGCCGCCGCCGCTGCAGCCGCTGCACAAGCAGCAACAGCAGCAGCAGCAGCAGGAACAGCCGCCACCGGTGTGTCAGCTGCTGGAGCAGCTACTGCTACCTCTGGGTTACCTGGTACCATTAAGGCAGCCTTTGCACGCTCCCTGACGGTGACGGCTGTGCGGGGTGGAATGACAGTTCCACTAACCGCAGGAGGAGTACCTTCATCCGCTGTCCCGGTGAATCCAAGTCTTAATCCCGGCTTGAGTCTGAAGCGGCACATTGATGATGTGGCCGCCGATGATGATAGTCTGCTGGAGGAGGACGAGGAGGAGGATGAGGAGGAGATGGAGATGGAAATGGAGATGGATGAGGAGGAGAGGGAGCTGGGCGACTATCATCCGATGATGGTCAAGGGTGAGGAGGAGTTCCAGTTGATAGAGAAGAGCATAGAGTTGTACTGAGCCAAAAAAGCTGGGTTTTGAAATGCTTCAGGCTTTGGAGGGGAATGAGAGCTCCACCAGAGGCAACTGAGCGCAGTCCGAGGTGCTCGAGGCGGCAGCTCCTCCGGTTGACGCTGCAGTTGAGTTGTCCTTTAATGACTTGGATCACATTGACGTGATCTTTATCCATGTTTCCAGTTGCCCAATTCCAGTTTCGTGTTTGATTTAGTTTGAACATTAAGAGAAAACACAATTTATTGCTGGCCAGGCAATGATTCGCTGTTTTATATAGCCTTTTGTATATGTTTTTTTATTTTTTAATTTGATACAAAGCCGCAGCATTTCAATAACTTGGACAGGCCACTCCTTTTTTATTTTGTTGGTGCCAATCCCGATCCCCGCCAGAAACACAACCACAACCAGAACCAATTCATTCCCATGTAATTAGAGTTTCTTATTTTTTTTTTTATTTGTATTGCCATAAGCGTCGTAGGGAGGAGAGGGGGAGATTGATTGAAAGACAGCCCAGAATTCCTAATTGTTGTTAGCAGCAAATTATTTAATTTTATTTGCATGTTAAAAATTGTATTATTATTTGTATTTTGTACTTAATTAATTACCTATTATAATTATATTATTATTTGTAACGCTTAAATTAATATGTAAACGTGTGAACCTCCAAGTATACCTCAGCAACAGCCAATAGCGACGGTCGCGTCTATATATATATATACCTAATATATAATATATATGCATATTCCATTATATAGATTGTAAAGCCTAATTTTAGCATCAACATTTTTTTTGTCGTATTTTTTAATTTAAAACATGTTTAATTATTATTTTACGAGGGAACAAACACAAAAACGAATGCCATATATACGATATGTAAGCTTACAAAAAAAGCAGCAACTAAATGCCAATTGATATATATATATATCTATATATATTTATATAGTATATCTACTATATCTAGTTACTAGACCACACACCCATATATATATATATATTTATATATATGTATATATATATATCCGTATAGCCTTAACAACGCCAAAATGTCAGCAGCAGCCACAGCAAGTAAGAATGCCAGTAAACCATAAACAAAAAATGCAAAAATCAGGGATATTATTATTATAACTAAGAGCGAGAGATACTGTCGTATTATGATACCTAAAAAAATATATCTATATATATTTATTAATTTTAGTTGCCCATTTATTTATATGTTCCACCAATAAAACCAATTGTAATTATTTAACACACAATTCTTCAGTTTATTCTGACCACAAAAACACACATACATATATATTCACATACATTCTCCTCTCGTTTTTGTAATTATACAATTTTTTTTATTATTATTATTATTATTTTTAATTGTTAAACCATTCAAGACAACGCTTTCACATTTTTTGGCACGCCTTCTAAGTATTTTTTTAAATGACAAATATAAACGAAAAACAAAAAAAAAACTATATAAAAAAATTGAAAATTATGCAAATTTGTTGTTTTTATTTTTATTATTACAATTATGATTTTTTTCATTGGTTTTCAGCACTGGAGACATTTTGAGATTCTCTCCACAGGTTTTTCTTGCCTAATTTGGCAGATTCCTTTCTCCTTCTTCCTTTTTTTTTCTCCTTTTGACTATATAATTGTTTTATGGACATGTTCTTCCCTTTACCTTTCCTTGGCAACCCCATCATAAAGTTTTAAATAAATGCTACTCGTTTGTATGTATTTTTTGTATTTTTTTTCTTTCGTTTTTCTTAATTATTTTTGTAGAAATTCATTGTTGTTTCTGTTGTTGTTCCATGCTAGTTCCAAAGAAATTACGTGCGTGTCTTTAATGCTGCTTTTTTCTCTGTATCTATCTCTGTCTTTGCCTCTCCTTCTCCCTCTCTCTCTCTCTTTGTCTCTGAATCCCAGTCTGAATCCGAATCCAAATCGGAATCCGAATCCGGAGTTCAGCTCGAGATAGAGATTTTTTTTCGTTTCGCGAAGAAAGAAGCGAAGCAGAGAATGGAAGACGGGCCAAGACATGTGTAGATACAAAGATACAACATATGAAAACAACAACAAAAGGAAAACAGAAAGAAGAAAAATAAAAAAAAACAAGGCAACTCCCGTGAACGTGTGTGTCTTGTTTCGGGCAAGCCGGTTCCCGTGATCCCAGGATCTGGACACAAAGGACTCTGCAGATCCTTGAAGCCTGCACACACACGCACACACATGTTGCTGCATGCCGCTAGCTAGCAAAAAGGGGAGTGGCTGCAAATAGACGCGGCTAGCAACAGCTATTTCAGGGATGCCATGTATCTCATGGATGCCTCCGCTATCTATTGCTTGCGAAAATCACAGTTTACTGAAAATACGTTGTGTGAGGGTCGGAAATATGAGAAACAATTAAATTATATACTGTAGGAAACTAATTGTTTGAAAAAATAATTATCTATATAATTATATATCTACAAATAAATAGTGAGTTCAAGTTCTTTCCCGAAATATGTTAAAACCTTGAAATTTACTGAAATTTTAAGATGACTTTAGGAAAACTATCTTTAGATAGGTTTTTATTTACTTAAAACGTAAAGGTTTTAATTTCTATTAGATATTTCTCTGTTTTTATATTATTTTGTTAATTACTGATCGATTTTGTATTAATTTAATATGAAACATGATAGTTCTTACCCTTTAATTAAACCTTAAAAATGTTCTTGTACGTTTGAGATACAAATTAGGCTTGCAAGTTCCTTAGAAACCATATAGAACTTGTGCCTGTAGTATTATTTATTACTTATGTCATAGCAAAATATAGATAATTACATATATAGAACTATATAGATTACATTTTTACAAGTAATGGCTTGTAGCTTAATATAAAACCTAAGGAAAGTTCAAACTTCATGTTATGGAATAGGTACGAAATAGGAGTTCTGGTTTTTGGCCTGTACTATCGAAAGTAAATGGAATATTAAGCTAAATTTCTCCTGCTTAATCTCAAAAGTCTTTTCCAACTATTTCCATAATTAAAAAGCCACAAATTTGGCTATTTTGAGCTCTGGCAAAACGCAATGTTCGGCGTATCTGAAAGATACACAATCCATGGCGCTGCGCTTGCGCGACACTCTGCGCAGCGTCTGTGGCTATGTCATCATAACGCCGCTTCTCCCGGCTTCTTCTCCACCTCCTCCTCCACCTTCTTCTCCTCGTTCTTCGTCGCAACACTCCTGGCTTCGTGCGGCGGCATTCGCATGTGTATCTGTATCTGTATCTGTGGCCCCCGTATCTGTGTATCTTCTACTTCTTGGTTTTGTTTGTTGAACATAAAAACTGGTTTCCTGTACATATGCTCATCCAGCAACAAACCATCTGTAATTTTAATTTTTCGGCAAGATGTTGTGCGCCCTCTCTTTCTTTCTCCACTTCCCTCCCTCTTGCTCGCCCTCGAGAAGCGGTAGCTATGTCTTCGCTCTCTTTCTGCCGTTTGTCGTTTTCGTTTTCTTGTGTGTTGTTTTTTTTTTTCGGCAGAGATTTTGATCGGTTGAGTGTCCAGGTAGAAATTGTCTACCTTAGCGGTGTGTGCGTGTGTGTATCTTGTAGATACTCGAAGCCTGTAGAGGCAAGAAGCAGAGAAGACAGTAGGTCGTAGCGGCCTCTCGCTCGCACACGGTCACTGTAATCCTTGAAGAGATTGCCTTCTCGCTCTATTCTCTCTCGCTGTTTCTCTTAATTCTCCTTCATTTCCTTTTTCTCGCCTGTTTCTCCTTCTATATACCGCTTTAGCACTTACCATGATTCATAGCTATAACACAGAGAGAGAGAGAGAGAGAGAGAAAGGGAAAGAGAAAGAGAAAGAAAGAGATAGAGAGAGTTACGGAAATGTAGAGAAGTAAGGCAAAAAAAGGAAGATTCCTGGCAAAGAAATCCAAGAAATAATATAGAATATAGAACGAAGGAATGAACAATAGCTTCGCCTTGACAGGCTTTTGTGTCTTTGTGTTTTGTTTTTTTTTCCTTTTAAGAGGAGCAAGAAGAAGACAAATCTTTAATGCACAAAGCAAAAAATATAGATTTATAGAATTAATATATCTATATAGAAATTTTTAGAATCAATCTAAAAATTTGTAATAAAGTTTACTATGTTTATGGAAACATTACAAAGAAAACACAAAATGTTTGCCAAATTTCCTAACTAATTTAATGTATCGTAAAGATAGGAGAATATTTAAAAGTATGTTTCTGTTACTTTAGCTCTTAAAGAATTACAGTCTATTACCATTTCTGCTGCTTAAATTAGTGTTTGCTTAGGTTAATTTCAACAAATACTTTTCTTTGTGTGTTTTCATTGTGGTTTTTTGCACTATAATATGATCAATGTGCAAATCTGGCATTCTTCCAATGCTTCTACTCATTCTCCTCCTTTTTCTTGATCTTCTCAACCTCCTCCTCATCCTTCTTCTCATCCTTCTTCTCATCCTCCTCCTCCTCTTTCATTTCACAAACATGTGTGATCTGCTTACTACTTCCTTTACGTCTTTCCTTTTTGCTGTTTGTCTTTTGCTTTTTGTTTAAGATTCATCGGTGTGTTTCCTTGCGCATAACTGTTCTTTTGTATTTGTTGTTCTCAGGATTCCACCATTTATCCCTGGAATTCCAGAATTTCAAAACCAAATCCTAAATTCTACAATTGATTCGAAAATATCTTGTGATATGACTGTCCTAAAAATTAAACTACTTTTCACTTATGAAGAGGTTATATGAAATTACATAGAATTTATCAAAGTTTCTAAGGATTTTATCTATATATATATATCTGTCTATTTCTATTTTTGAATTTATATATGTATATAAAAATCTGTAAGGATTTGAAAAGTATAGATACCCCATATCTTACCATTGAAATATAAGGCCTAAAGTCTAGTATCTTCAAGTTACAATTCCAACATTAGCTAAAAGCAATTCCAAGATACAAGATTATTTAATGGAACATTTTCTGTGGAAAGCCAAAATAATTACAAATATATTTTATTTCGAATTTTTTGTGTGGCCCTTATCAATGGCCAAGACATGGCTGAAAAAGGTTAAATTAGCGCAGTGTCAGTGTGACATCTAACACAAAAACTCAATCAAATTAGCTCACGGAATGAAGGAAATTATCCAACCACCCTTCCTCCCCCTTAATTTTCATTCATTTCCCCCGCTGAAACTGTAAAATTTTCCCTGGTTTCGCTTCGATTTTTTGTATTTTTATTTGTTGTTGTTGTTGTTGTTCAACTTTCCTTTTGGATTGTGAAATTTCTTTCCCATTACTTTCCCAGCCCGGTGCTCTTCTTCTTTTTTAATTACGAAACATTTGACAGCATCCTGAGATGCTTATTGTGTTATCCACACACATGTATGTGTCTATATATCTGCCTCTATATATATATTTATATATATATATATGTATATCTGTACATCACACAAAGGTCTTTTAGGTTGTTGTTAACCTTTTTTTTGTTTTGTGGGCCTGTGCTAGAAGAAGAAACCCACCCCTGAGCCGAGTTCTTCAGCGTTTCTCTAGAGTTATATGGCGTTAGATATTTGATTTCCAAAATT